TGTGTGTGTGTGTGTGTGTGTGAGAGAGAGAGAGAGAGAGGTTGTATTATCCGTAGTCATGTCATCGACAAAGCTCTAACTCTAAATACATGTAAATATAATCTATATTCTATCGCACGCAATTTACATAGAGATAGAGATCAAAGATGAACGGTTCAGTGTTGTTGATCGATTCTTACGAGATATATCTATTTTCTTTGAAACAAACAAAATAGTTCGTTGCTACATCCATTGTAAATTATAAATGATTTTTTACGGCCCCACTGGCATAATTTACATGGCGTATATGTTGTCTAATGAGTAATGAGGCGAGTTGTTTCGAACCTGTCTGTCCGGGGGGGGGTGATAACCCTGGTGGAGTGGGCCCAAAGAGGAGTGGGACACACATAGATTTACACCATTATCCTTAAAAAGGAGATAACCCTATTGGGCCACAGCATCCAGACTGACAGACAGAAATACTCGATAATAATACATGTGTATATTAAATTCAGATCCCCAACGATTGGCCTTTCTTTAGCCCAGCGAGGCGAATCACAGAGTTATCTCCTTTTTAAACCTAGTTGTAGTAGTGTAAATCTATGAGACGAACTTATCTCATCATTACAGCACAGAACACCACTAGCACTAATGGGTGGGATGTAGATCAAGAGTAGAACTTTTTAAAAAAAGAATAGAATATTAGAACATTTTTAAAAATACCTTTTGTTTTCTCCCAGTCTCATTTGTTCTTGTTTTTGCTATCAAACATTCAAGCAGGCTGTTTTGTTGGCTTATATGAATTCGAATCAAATAAATCCAGTTCCTTACTATACAGCTGACAGAAGCAGTCTGAAAATGGCCTGATATTCTCAAAAAGAGATGCGAGGGAGGGTCTTGGGGTTTGGTTGGGGTGGGGATTGGGGTGGGTAGGGATGGTTTGAATACCTCATCTTGATTTCGACCTAGTGTTCTATTTTACTTTTAAATGCAAAAGGAGAAGACTACACACTTTTCTTTTCTGTATTTTTTTTACGCAGTATCTTTATAGGGAGTTCCAAATACTGACTGAGTTTTTAGACCAGACACACAATCATGTCAAGTATATAGGCCTAATTATCATGTCGGTGATACGGCGTTTAAGTGGGTGGCCAATGGAATGTGCACTTGAGAAAAAACACGATGAGTTAAAAGAAAGAAAAAAAGAAGAAAACAAAAAGAAGAAAAACAAAACTTACGCACTCCACAGTGTGGCCAGCATTGACGTGTTGGCTGCTGTCTTGGTAAGATTTTGGATGTGACAAACTTCTGCTAAATTATGACATGCATTTGAATATTTATATTGATAACAAGATTATGAACCTTCTGACCATTCCACGATCGAAGCGTGTTGCTTTTTAGTGTTTGCTGCTTGACTGGAAACAGTAGGGTAGACAAAGACTATTCGACCGAATCTTAAAAAAGAAAGCCAGCAAGATCCACATGGAGCACTTATAAAACATGACATAAAACTTTAAAGTATAACATGTGTCCAAGCAGGAGTTGTCTATTGATTTTCGGGTTGTTGGTTTTTTTAAAAATGATACCGTGTGATGGTTTTGGCGTATTCTTTTTTAATCACTTTGTATTGTGTGTACTATTACATAATATATACTAGTAAAAGTACCCGTTCTACGAACGGAATAATAATGAAGAAGTATTAGGAAAGTTAAGAAGAGAAAGAAGACTGAAAACAGGAAAGAAACAAAACATAAATAGTTTACCTTGAATTTATCAATGTAGCACCCCCTCTTGACTACCTCTAGGGGTAAGACTTCTTCCCTCTCTTCGAAGTCGTGGCATTTTCTCCCCCTCTTCGAAGTCGTGGCATTTTCTCCTAAAGTTTGACTTTGACCCTTGAATACATTAAGTAGGCCTACGGTAGGCTACTCTTAGCGCTTTCGACGACACCCTCCCTGTCACTCTCACCACCCTCCCTCTGTAGTGATTTCTGGCCTCCTCTATCTCTTCCTTTTCACACACACTCTCTCTCTCTCTCTTTCTCTCTCTCATTCTCTCTCT